TGGCAATAGGTTGGGAATCCGAGCACCACCTGTGGAAGCCAACAACTTTGAGGTCAAACCAGGACTCCTCAGCGTGATCGAGAACAACATGTATCATGGCTTGCCTGTAGAAGACCCATTTGATCACTTGGACAAGTTTGACAGCTACTGTGGGTTGTCAAAAATCATTGGTGTGTCTGAGGATGCCTTCAAGCTCAAGCTATTCCCTTTCTATTTGGGGGACAAGGCACGTAAGTGGGAGCATTGTGATCCAAAAGGGGGTGAAAATGAGCATGGATGGAGCCTTTAAAGAAATATTCTTTGCTAAGATTTTTTGGAGACACGAAAAATTGAGTTAGCTTTCTAATGGAGGTGGTTTCAAGTCATTTGAAGATGTAATGAAGGAGTTATGACCAATTTATTAAAGGCATATCTACCATGTTCGAGCATCTCGCAGCGGGGTTGTGCAGCGGAGCCGAGGGGTCGGCTCAGTCCCCAGCGGGGTCATGCAGCGGGGCCAGGGGGTCGCTCGGCTTTACGGAAAGCGAAGAAAACACCCCACAGTGGGGTTGTGCAGCAGGGTTGTGACCCCGCTGCGCGCTTATGTTTGAACGAAAATACTTGCTTTCGAGGACCTTTTTGCAATTTCCGTTTTTATGTTTTGAGTTGGAGAAACCTAATTTTAAATATGTTGTAAGCCACCTGAGGAAGATTATCTTTGTTCTTGAAGAAAAACAATTGAAAAACCTTTGTTTACTTGTCTATTTCATCATCTACATGATTAACCTTGAATCTAACATGGGTTTAAGAGTAATCATGATGATTAGTGAGTAAATCACCTTTTGAATTCATGGGTTAGGGAGATTAAGGGTGATTAGGTTAGTTCTAGGTTGTTTTAGTGTAGATCATTCTTGTTCCTTGCTAGTAGAGTATTCATAATGCATCTTCTGAGTTAGCCACTCAAAAGTTGATCAATAGGCATTTCCCACCCAAAAGGTGTTTGATGAAATGCCTGAGACAACTCTCCTATGCTTTTAGTATACTTTTCCAAAGACATTTGCTATTAAAGGTGCTAAGATAGCTAATAGACTTGTTAGTAATGATTGCTTTAATATTATTCAACCAAAGACATTTGATGTTTGAGATATGTTAGCAAATGAACACTCATCTAGACATAGAGCTTGTTTAGAATTGTGTCTAGGTTTAAGGTCGATAGTTTGATTGATCATTTGCCATCCTTAATTCGAAACTTGATCACCCAAGATCTAATCCCTACTCTCATGAGTTCTCCTTTTTTTTAATCAAGGAAGTTATTTTAGTTATCGTTTTTCTTATTCTTAGTTATAGTTTAAAACCATCATTTATTTGATTGTATTTAGATTAAGTGAGTACTTGCATTCTCAGTGCTTTAAGATCCCTTAGAATTGATTCGACAATCTTTTATACTACAACATTTGTCTTAAGAGCCTAGAAAACTCCTAACATCACAATTTCAACAAATCAAGGTTATAATTATTCCCAACTATATGAAACGAGTGTTTCCACATCATACAGAAAACAAACTTATGTAGAATATTAACTACCAACGAACTTTAATCCTATTAAAAAATATTGGAAGGTAAACCAAAAAAAATGTGGAACAATGAATTACAGTATAACCTCTTTAAATTAATAATCTATAAATTAATATCTCTATAAATTAATATAATTTCATAGTCCCAAATTGAATTTTTGGTTCAATTAATATCCCGATAAATTAATAATCTCTATAAATTAATAAAAAATTTAGTTTTGGTGTAGTCCCAACCTTATTAATTTATACAGGTTTTACTGTATATAAAATTTAGGTTATATAATGGCTGAAAACAATTTAACTTATATTTTGAAAGATTATATAGTTAGAAAAAAAATTAAAACAAATCATACACTCTAACCCTATATAGATTTTATATATTTTTATTATACTTCTGAAAATAAACCATCATATACAACTTAAAACAAATAATGGTATACTTATTAAATATTGAACATCAATCATATTCAAAATAACAATATTATAAGGGTAACTCATATATTAAATACTATTCCTCTGTCTATGTCTAAAACACACAAAGATTAAGAAACTTACTTTTCTATACAAAATAAAAACATCATTAAAATTGTATATTAAAAATGATTCAACTAATTATAAAAAGGACAGTGAAATATACTCGAAAGCTCAAAACTGAAAATTAAAAGTATATGTAATACCAATATTCAAACTACCGAAATATATCTACTATGCACAACATATTTCAGATACTTTGGATACTCGATCGTGTATCGAGTAGGATGTGGACTCGAACATATACTTAGGGGTCCAAAAAAAATTGAAATAGTACATTGACCGGACCCGTATAAAAACAAAACCTATATTTTGGATCCGTCTTGGTTCAATCTTACAGGTCGGGGTAAATTAACCAGATAAACTAATTCATAAATTATATAATTTAGAAAACCAATTCTTAGATATAATACAAATATTTAACATAAACATGTATAACAATCACAAAATAATATTTCAAAATTTGTTTGAATCCGAAAATCCACCCTTTCAAACCGCGGTCAAAATCTAGTTTCTCTTTTGTATAGTTTATTCCTCTTAGTATAAATAAACTTATTTTGTCAAAAAAGCTTCTTGTATTTATGAATTTATGAGTAACACAAGTTTTCAATTCGTTTTTTTTTTCGTTTCAGTTACTAAATTTATGAATTATTATTACATCGAACTTTCTTCAAGCTATAGAAGATATTTTAAGGGAAATTTGTCTTGATATGATATATACATAGGAAACCTCAAATTCACTATCTAACCAAATTCACCCAATCTCTCTCTTCATTTTGTTTCCTATCTCTTTTTAACCTCGCACTAAAAATCTAATTATCATTATTTGGTTATTTAGCAAATAAGCCCTTAATATAAATACTCAGACATAGTTAAAATAATTAATTTAATGGAAATTTGGTCTAAATTTGTGAAAGCTAGGTTAATTTTGAAAATCTTAATTACAAATATATGGGATATTTTGATTGTTTTAATTTTAACATACCGTATTTGGGTGTGTTATTTTAGTTTTTTTGATATTTCACGGTTTGGTTTCGGTTATTCGAATAAAACATTTAGAATGCATTTGGATATCTAAAATAGATTTTGGTTCTTGGTAAACTGACTCAGCTCTGCTACTAATACCGACCTCTTAAATATACGTTTCCACCGTAAAAATAGGGGGAAATGTCATTTAAATCATCAATTTTCAAATTTGGTTGAAATAATGATTCAACTTTCTCGTAAGCTAAAAAATACTCAATTTTTATTGACAAGCCATTTTAATCACAAACTTTCGTCGACTATACTATTTTAGTCATATTGTTAGTCAACAGTTATAAATTTGACTAACGGTATGCCTAAAATGGCTTTTAAAAGTTGATAATTTTTTGGCACAAATATAAATCAACATTTTTCTAAAATATTGAATAAATTTTAGATATTGAAAATAATATTTTAATAACTATAACACCAGCTAAATAAAATTAGGAATGAAAATAATTCCAACCAAAAATATAAACAGAAATCAATGTAAAATAATTAGTTAACGTATCATCAATTGAGTATCTTAGTTATAAAAATTATTATGAAGAATTTTTTTAATTATTTACAATTAAATTTAAAATATTTATATAATCCTATCTGGATTAATTTTTATAATTTTATTTACAAAACAAAATTTACTGAAATATTAATTCAACTTTTGATTCTTAAACGAAAAAAGTTACCGGCTAATGGATTCTTCATGATTTTTTTTGTCATCAATCTAAACAGAATCATTCATGATCTTTATATTTATAAAGATATTCAAACAGATCTATATAATTTCTATAAATATTTTACAAGAGTTTTTCTGCATGTAAAAAAAAAATTCACTCAAAAGTTTGAAGATCTAAAATGTTCCCGCATCCAAAATTGAAACTCTTTATGTAAGAACATTTTGGATCTTAAAATTTTTTGGTGAAACTTATTTTTCTTTAAATGCAGAAAACTCTTGTAACAATTTTATAGAAAAATTATAGATTTGTCTGATGATCTTTATTATAAATATAAGAAATTATGAAGAATCCATTAATCGATAAATCTTTCGTTTAAGAATCAAGAGTTGAATTAATATTTCACTAACAAGATACTCAATTAGTGATACGTTAACTAATTATTTATACTAAGTTCTTTTTTATATTTTTTGTTGGAATTATTTTTTTATTTATAATTTTATTTATTTGTGTTATAGTTATTAAAAATATATTTTCAATATTTAAAATATATCCAATATTTTAGAAAAATGATGATTTATATTTGTGTCAAAAAAAATCATACACTTTAAAAAAAATTTTAGGCCTATTGTTAGTCAACTATAACTGTTGACTAACGATATGATTAAAAGATATGGTCGGCGAAAGTTTGTGATTAAAATGATTTTTTAACAAAAATTAAGTATTTTTTTGGTATACGAGAAAGTTGATACTTTATTTCAACCAAATTTAAAAGTTGATGATTTAAATGACATTTTTCCCATACAAATAGGCACGTTGCATATATATTGTATGTATGCATCTCATATTTATATTAGTAAAAAATATTAGTGTTCACAAAAAAAAAGTCCAACTATGATCCAAGTTCGATCCAATTAATTTCATTGGTAATTTTGGAGTAGAACAAATGTGAAGAGAAAAAGAACACTTAACATGTGTTTATATTTACAATTCTTTAAGACTAAGACAAACGGTAAAGCGTGAATAGAAGTCATGCAAATCCGAACCCAAAAATCTTGAAACTAGACAATCTACTTTTGGAGGAATACATAATAATAGTCGTTTCCCCAAACTCACACAGTCACACTATATACCTAGCTTAGTTATCTCCATGCACAAAACCCACTTCCACCTAAAAATCTTAACCACTATTTCACCATCCATCGTCAACAGACCAAACATCAATCATCACTTGTCTCAGCAGCTGGATCACGAACACAACTATCTTCTTGATTATCTCCAGCTTCACGGTCTGGCCTGTCTTCTTCAACTCCTTCAGGCCTCGACGTATCTTGCACTGAACCATCATTGACACTCGACGAGCCTCCTTCAATTTCAGAGCTCTCTGTAGGGACAAGTTGCTGCACTACGTTTCCAGTGTTACTCGTTTCCCCTATGGTTCCAGTAGATGTTGGAACAGGCTTTTTCGCACGATGATAAAGCTCACCCATCTGGCCACGGATATCTGAAAAAGAAATAAAGATAAATACACCGCATGCAGCAACAAGGTCTCTAGAGCACATCAATCAAAGTCATATACCATTTAGTTGAAGAGGCGTGATGTCAAAATATTGACACCAGCTCTCTTCATTTGATTGCACGTCCATTTTTATGTGCTTGGCAGCGAGGAAAAAAGCACCAGCTGCTACGTGACGAGGCTGATATTGCAGGCAAAGTGTCGTCCAGAAACTGCAAATTGACTTGTTGTGACTCTATGAAGAAAGGAAAAAGACGCAACCGTCAAAATTCTCAGGACCATTTCAATCATCATACCTATCATGGACAAATTTCCATGCAATTTTAGGAAACTCGCCCTGAGTAGCCTCGTCAAGCATATATTTTTGCATTGCTTTGATAAGAGGTTCGTAAGGAAGATCAACACTGAAATCAAAATTGAGTGTAGAAAGAACAAGCTTCTCTCCATTTAGTACAAGCTCCTTATGTTGTTCATATACTTCCTGGAAAAAAGAACATATCTAATCAGAAAAGAACAAAGTTGAAAATGGGGACAAGGAGGGTTGTAGGAATCTGAAAGAAAACCTGTCTATGCTCAGCTGCAATAACCTTCTTGTGTAATATCTCATTAGAAGCAATGATCAGGGTTTTTAAATCCACCGGAGTAGACTCAACCTTGGCAGAAAGGAACAAGCAGACTATTGCAATTGTCTGGAGTGAAAACGTAAATAGCCAAGCCAACCAAATATTTCAGAGAACTTGATCTCTACCATACTCTGTTTTGAAAAATGGGACGCCTAATATGCTAATAGACTCACAGTTTAAGGCAGAACTACAAAGACCATTCATAACATTTACACCAAAAAAAAGACTAAAGACCATTTTGTTCAGGTTCTGCGTGAAATCTTACCCATCTGTTATTCTTTGCGTGTGATTGACGAAGGAAGAATCTGTGACAGAATACCATAGCAGTGGTTTTTGTTTCCTGGTTACTGCGTTGAGAGATCAATATCAGACTTATTTTCTCTTTTGTGTATAAAACATAACCAATGCTAAACCTAGAGTATAAATGCCTCTAACTGACTGCAGCAGATCAAACGATAGAATATACAGAACAGATGAAAAAAGGATACTTGTTCCACACTCACAATACAGAAACTAAACTAGCTTGAAGCGGCAGAACAGAGGCATGAAAGAAACTTACCGTTCGAGTTTGGTACCGAGATCTTTCAAGAATGAACAGTATGACTTGCGTAGGCGAGTTTCTTCCTTCAAATCAATACCATCTCTTCTTGATGGTGAGTTATTTTCGATTTCTTCTCTTGAATAATACCAACGGTCAGCACTAGGGAACATTGTATATGTAAAGAGACTGCTGATCCTAGGTTCTGATTCTGAACAAAGGTAAGAAGCGAAATCATATGGAAACTGACCAACCGAAGTGGCAACAGAGGCTCAAAAATCAAGATGAGATCTTTTCGTAAAGAGGCAAGAACATTGCAAATTTCGGAAAGGAAAAACAAAGTCACGACGACGACGAGCAACCCATTTATCTAGCGACAAATGAAATACCCAGAAGAAGGAAAAAAAAAAAAAACAGAGGTTCACAAAATCAAGATGGGATCTTTTCGTAAAGGGTCAAGAAGATTGCAAATTGCCAAGAACGGGAAAGGAAAAACAAAGGGACATTCTTGTTGCATGTCAAACAAAACCCATGACGACGAACAACCCATTTATCTATAGAGTAGCGACAAATGAAAAACCCAGACGGAGGGAAAAAAACCTCAATTTTGGGATGAATACGAATAAAAAGATGGAAACTTAACCTAGAAACAGAAGCTACCATGCAGAGAAAATGGAACCCTGGAGAGAGCAGCGAGGAACGAACGAAGATGAAGAAGGCTGAGAGACTGCTACTCTGCCACTACTCTCTTTTTTCTTAATCGAAGATTTTGATACTTTTAGAAGGCGCAAACATGAATACTTTTAATTGTTTCTTTTTCGAACTTATAAGTTATAACCAATCTTATTTGGTCACGTGTAAAATACTTCTCTAATACATAAAACTAGGTATTTTCCTACACTATGTGCAGAAATAAAAGTTTTAAAAATAAAAATATATTTAAAATGAAATTTAGTAATTTTTCAATTTTTTTTTATTTTCGTACATTATCAATTGTACATTAATTATATGTAAACACTAACATAAAGTAAACAACTTTATTTAAATTTATATTTAATAATATATCTTATACTATAAAAATGAAGACAACTCTCTTTTTCTCAATACACGTCATTTTATGACGTCACTAAATGGGCAATTCCAACACGCGCCAACTGTCTCTTTCGGCGACAACCCCTCTCCCAAATAAGTTATTGTTTCCGCTTCGTTTTCTCTCCCAACCCTTCCCTTTCAATATTTTCATCCAACTTCAGCTATACTCCAGTCAATCTTACCTCTTTCTCTCCTTATCTTCACAAGAAAATGCTTGTTTAATTTTTTTTCCTGCCCTAGAGTCATCTTATTTAACTTCAATTTGATACTCTAAATCAAGCTTCTTGCAGTACACTATAATTGACTTTTGCATTTCACAAATCCTGTTCTTTTAATTGCAGATTGGATTTTTTTTTTTGGTTGGATGGGAGAACGAGAGTTACCTAAAGAGAACCAAAAAAAATTACAGAGAAATTTAGGCAAAGATCTAATTGATGTTCTCTCTGATAAAAGACTTTTGTTTTGTGTTTTAAAATACGTATTCACAAAAAATCATGATTTAGTGCAGTGTGATCTAGCAGAGGCAGACGCAAGGTCTTGAATGCCAAAAATAAAAGCATAGAGGAACTAAGGCTTTCGTAGAGATTTTTGCACAACTTCTCTAACCATTAAGTTTCTGTGAATAAAGCTTATTGTTTACTCCTCGATTCATCCCTTGAAGAACACACTGTTTTCCTCTATACATTTTCCTCCTACCAAGGTTTTTGTTTTTGGTATCATATATTTTCAACTTACAAAATTGCTTCCTGTTTTTTTTTTTTTAGCAGGCTCAGAAGAAGCGCAAGTATGATGGTGTGAAACCGAAGACACCATAAAATGAAAGGAGGAGGAAGATGGATATAAGACATGGAGAAATCAAAGAATGAATTTTGATAGAGGTAAAAACGCTTCCTTTGTTTCACAACCTAAAGGCTCATACTGTTGCACTGTTTTTCTACCATTAAATATTCACGACTTATCATCACAGTGTATGCATGAGGCTATGTCAGCTGATGTTTGTGAGAACCGAAATTCACACTTGTCGATATCCGTTAAATAAGGAAACTTAGGAAAACCCTAATTTTCCAGAGGAACCGGATCTCTGCGAAAGCCAACGACAAGTAACCAAATAAATGCGGAAAAATATGAAAAACGTAATAAAACGAATTTAAAGAAAAAGTAGATCTTATTTCGATTTCGCGTAAGAGCGTTGCGATCATTACAATGGTTTATAATGGCTTTTGCCGCAGGGCCGTCAGCGAGTTATCAACATAAAAACCTTAAACCTAACCGAGTCGCAGCTCGATAACAAAAGACGGAAAAAGATAAGAAAAAGGATTTGAATGATTTCGGACTGAACCTTATGAAAGGCTGCCTACGTACCCCTTTCGAGGATCACGTCGAACGTAGTTAAGTTGATAGAGCTGGACCAGAGATCGAACTGCCTGGACGAGTTCGTTTAGTAATTGAGCGCCAGTCATAGAAACCGAACTTGTAGAGAAAAAGCCTAAGTTTCTAAGTGCGGAAAATTCTAAGTCTAGAAAAGTTGTAAAAGTCTTAGATGAGAGCTCTGATTTTCGTCCCTTTGCTTCTGCCCTATGCCTCTTGCTTATATACTTCCTTCCTAGGCGGTTTAGTCTTTCCATTTCGCCCAGATTCGAGTTTATCGGGAATCTTCCATTTTATCTCGATCTTTCCTTTTTTCCCGCGAAAATCTTTTATTTATCTTCAAACTTGACATTTATCTTCAAGTTTGACTTTTATCTTCTTTCTGCGAGTAAATCGCCAAAACGTGGTCGTATCTTCGGGTTGGACTTCGTTTAAAGTCGCGAATGGCTTTTATCGTGTTTTAGGACTTTCCGAGCCATTTTGCGATAAATCCGTTTTACGACTTTAGACGAGATCGTTTCCTGATACGATGCCGTTTTTAGATAAGTTTCTCGATGTTTCGATTAATCGTTGCCGTTTTCAACGATTTACTCGGGGTTTTATTAAAAACGCGTTTTGTACGATTTTTACGAAAAATCTCGAATAAATCGTATAGTTTAGGCAATATTTGGTGTTTCGTTTAAACGTTTCCGTTTTATACGATTTCCTCGAGTTCTTTTCGAGAAAACAAAGTTTTACGGTTTTTATCGTAAAACTCAAACGATAGGACGGATCGAGACGAAACGGGAGACATTTCGACAGTGATTCGGAATACGATCGTGTCGAAGGACGTATGCCTTGAATCAAGGATGTGGGAGATCGAGGCTCGGGATGGTCGGCTTGACGTACGGCGAGCTAGTTCAGGTTGGCCATGTCGCCATATGGCGAACTAGGCGATAAGAACCTGTGCGGCAAAGTCAGCGCCTCTTAGTTCGCCGTTGGGCGAACTAGTCGGGATGAGGCTAGTTCGCCCAACGGTGAACTAGGTCGGCTTGGCTTAGTTCCCTATTGGGCGAACTAGCCGGGACGGGGCGAGTTCGCCCAACGGCGAACTAGGCGATAACAACCTGTAGGGCAAAGTTAGCGCCCCTTAGTTCGCCGTTGGGCGAACTAGTCGGGACGAGGCTAGTTCGCCCAACGGCGAACTAGGCCGGCTTGGCTTAGTTCGCCGTTGGTCGAACTAGCCGGGACGGAGCTAGTTCGCCCAACGGCGAACTAGGCTGGCTTGGCTTAGTTCGCCGTTGGTCGAACTAGCCGGGACGGGGCTAGTTCTCCCAACGGCGAACTAAGCCGGTCATGGCTTAGTTCGCCGTTGGCAAACTAGCCGGGACGAGGCTAGTTCGCCCACCGGCGAACTAAGCTGGCTTGGCTTAGTTCGCCGTTGGACGAGCTAAGCCGGGACGAGGCTAGTTCGCGTTTTACGGCGGTTTCTGTTTTTCGCGGTTTTGTAAAACGAATCTTCGAGTTTTTAAAAACGATTGTTCAAGTTTTATAAAATGATTCTCATGTTTTATAAAACGATTCTTGAGTTTTATAAAACGATTCTTCGAGTTTTATAAAACGATTCTTCTAGTTTTATAAAATGATTCTTCGAGTTTTATAAAACGATCCTCGAGTTTTATATAACGATTCTAGAGTTTTATAAAACGATTCTTCGAGTTATATAAAACGATTCTTCTAGTTTTATAAAATGATTCTTCGAGTTTTATAAAACAATCCTCGAGTTTTATAAAACGATTCTTGAGTTTTATAAAACGATTCTTCGAGTTTTATAAAACGATCCTCGAGTTTTATAAAACGATTCTCGAGTTTTATAAAATGATTCCTCGAGTTTTATAAAACGGTTCTTTGAGTTTTATAAAACGGTTCTTTGAGTTTTATAAAACGATTCTCGAGTTTTATAAAATGATTCTTCGAGTTTTATAAAACGATCCTCGAGTTTTATAAAACGATCCTCGAGTTTTATAAAACAATCCTCGAGTTTTATAAAACGATCCTCGAGTTTTATAAAACGATTCTCGAGTTTTATAAAACGATTCTCGAGTTTTATAAAATGATTCTTCGAGTTTTATAAAACGATCCTCGAGTTTTATAAAATGATTCTTCGAGTTTTATAAAACGATCCTTTAGTTTTATAAAACGATTCTCGAGTTTTATAAAACGATTCTCGAGTTTTATAAAGCAATTCTTCGAGTTTTATAAAACGAACCTCGAGTTTTATAAAACGATTCTCGAGTTTTATAAAATGATTCCTCGAGTTTTATTAAACGATTCTTTGAGTTTTATAAAACGATTTCTTTTATATTTCTGCGGGGAGTTTTGGCCATTGATTCCGTCGTGACCGATTTTGACACCAACAGTTAGCCCCCCAGCTCGCTGGAATCTTGAGCCTTTAGCGTAAGGTTCTTGCGAGTGGTTAGCCAGTTTTAGTTAAGTTAGGCGGAATTAATGGTTGGAAAGGTCCGTTGAAAGTGATATTTCCACTCTCCAGGGAGCGGAAAGTGTTTAAGATTAGGGCTGCGCCTTGTGAAGGCTGCCTACGTAGCCTTTTGAGGGGATCAAGCCTTTCGTAGTTCGTTTCGGAGTTAAGGTTCGTATGACCTGTTTCCTGGCAAGACCTTTACGGTCTAGTTATATGTCGTGTAGGAATTATCGAGCATATTGATGTCGATGG